AAAAACAAATGTAAAATCATTCACTTGTATGCACAGCTAAAAAGAACTGTTTTCAGTTCAGTTTTAAAAACTGCTAGAGTAGACGCCTGTCTCACACTCTCGGGAAGACGGTTCCAGACTCTAGCTGCATGAATCTGAAACGCAGCCTCCCCATGTCTAGTTCCGACTCTTGGCACTAACAGAAGTCCAGTCCCTGTGCTCCTCAGAGCCCGAGTTGGTTCATATGGCACCAACATGTCGCGGATGTACCCTGGTGCGAGGCCATGGAGAGACTTGTACACAAGTAAAGCTACTTTAAAATCTATTCTCTGAGCCACAGGAAGCCAGTGCAGAGACCTGAGGACCGGACTAATGTGGTCGTACTTCCTGGTTCTAGTCAGGACTCGAGCTGCAGCATTTTGGATGTACTGCAGCTGTTTTACCGCTTGTTTAGAGAGACCTGTGAACAAGCCATTGCAGTAGTCCAATCGACTGGAGACAAATACGTGGATAAGAATCTCCAAGTCTGCTTTAGACACAATGTTTTTAATTTTAGCAATGTTTCTTAGGTGGAAGTAAGCTGATGATGTCACAGATGATATGTGGCTATTGAAATTCAAGTCTGAGTCCATTATTACTGTATTATTATTATTTATTTACTGTATTTCTACTTTTGCATGAACGCAACAAAATGGAAGTTAAAGCAGAGGTGTCACGTGGTGCGTCCATCTCTCCAGGACACGCTGCAGTGAAAATACACATTTGATAATCCTGAATGCATAATGTGTACAGTGGGGCAAAAAAGTATTTAGTCAGCCACAAATTTTGCATGTTCTCCCATTTAAAATAAAGACAGAGGTCTGTAATTTTCATCATAGGTTCACTTCAACTGTGAGAGACAGAATGTGAAAAAAAATTCACATTGTAGGATTTTTAAAGAATTTATTTGTAAATTATAGTGGAAAATAAGTATTTGATCACTTCAGACAAAGAAGATCTCTGGCTCTCACAGACCTGTGACTTCTTCTTTAAGAAGCTCTTCTGTCCTCCACTCGTTACCTGTATTAATGGCACCTGTTTGAACTCATTATCTGTATAAAAGACAGCCTAAATGTAGCCCAAAATGATATTTCAACCACTGATAATCTCCCTTCAATCTGGGGCTCCACGCAAGATCTCATCCCGTGGGGTCAAAATGATCATGAGAACGGTGATCAAAAGTCCCAGAACCACACGGGGGACCTGGTGAATGACCTGCAGAGAGCTGGAACCAAAGTAACAAAGGTTACCATCAGTAACACACTATAACGACAGGGAATCAAATCCTGCAGTGCCAGACGTGTCCCCCTGCTGAAGCCAGTGCATGTTCAGGCCCGTCTGAAGTTTGCCAGAGAGCACATGGATGATACAGCAGAGGATTGGAAGAATGTCATGTGGTCAGATGAAACCAAAGTAGAACTGTTTGGTATAAACTCAACTCGTCGTGTTTGGAGGAAGAAGAATACTGAGTTGCATCCCAAGAACACCATACCTACTGTGAAGCATGGGGGTGGAAACGTCATGCTTTGGGGCTTTTTTCTGATAAGGGGACAGGACGACTGATCCGTGTTAAGGAAAGAATGAATGGGGCCATGTATCGTGAGATTTTGAGCCAAAACCTCCTTCCATCAGTGAGAGCTTTGAAGATGAAACGTGGCTGGGTCTTCCAGCATGAAAATGATCCCAAACACACCGCCCGGGCAACAAAGGAGTGGCTCCGTAAGAAGCATTTGAAAGTCCTGGAGTGGCCTAGCCAGTCTCCAGACCTCAACCCCACTGAAAATCTGTGGAGGGAGTTGAAAGTCCGTGTTGCTCGGCGACAGCCCTGAAACATGGAGGAATGGGCCAAAATACCAGCTACTGTGTGTGCAAACCTGGTAAAGACCTATAGTAATTGTTTGACCTCTGTTATTGTCAAAAAAGGTTAAATTACAAAGTATTGAGTTGAATTTTTGTTATTGACCAAATACTTATTTTCCACCATAATTTACAAATAAATTATTTTAAAATCCTACAATGTGAATTCCTCGATTTTTTTTCACATTCTGTCTCTCACAGTTGAAGTGAACCTATGATGAAAATTACAGACCTCTGTCATTATTTTAAGTGGGAGAACTTGCACAATCGGTGGCTGACTAAATACTTTTTTGCCCCACTGTATTTGTAACCTGTACTTAGTCATTTTGATAGTAGCTAATTTTGCTAACACACCTCCAGCCTGTGTAGCCTTTATGTAAGCCTTATACAGTTATTTACTTACACTGTTCTGTATTTGTGGCTCAGGACAGATTTGTTTTGAGTTTTTTCCTGAAATATGTCTCTTTGAACCTTTTGAGTTGCCGACCCCTGTCCTAGAGTGTTTTAAGTACAGACTGATTGATGAAAGTTGGGTTCACCTCTGAAGTAAAATATCCGTCGTTGTTTCGTTGTCGTTGAGTCCAAAGTTTTAGCGCTGGTCGATCGTCATCGGCCTCCTCCATTTACCGCCATCGCTCATCGTCTTAAAGTTCAATTAAGTTGTCGTAAAATGTAATAATGTACCTCTTAATTAACGACTTATAGACAATGTCAGAGAAATGAGGCGTCACGGCAACCGAGAGTCTGAGGAAGAGGAAGATGAACGAGAGGACGAAGGTTTGTGGACGACGGCTCTAAAGACATAAACTATTTATGTCATTTATACAACGTCTTATACACGAGCTGCTCTGCTCTGCCCTGCCCTGCCCTACTCTACTCTACTCCACTCTACTCTACTCTACAACACCCTACCCTACTCTACTCTACTCTACCCTACCCTACCCTACTCTACTCTACTCTACTGTACTCTATTTTACGCTACCCTATCCTATTCTCCCCTACTCTACTCTACCCTCCCCTTTCCCACTCTACTCTTCTCTACTCACTATCAGGCAGACCACTTTAGTACCAGCTCGGCCTGGATAGAACCAGGACCAAGAGGGACTAAAGAAGGACCTGGTACTGGTTACACAGCGCTCCAGTTAGTCTTCCCACACTTTCAACGCTCAACTGGCGGGAAACAAGCCCTGCCCTGCATCAATCTTCTCATCTCGAGGAAGCTTCATTCATGCAGCAACCCTCCTCCTCCCCATCTCCACCTCATCGGTCAGTCCAGCTCTTCTCCTGCTCCCACCACCAGTGTCTAGGCCCCGGGGGATTCCTTTCCACTTCTGCAAACATCATCCCTTCAGGCTCTGTCGGGGTCTAAGCACCAAATCTTGACCACATTTCTAATACAGCAGTAATGCATTCAATCAAATATTGTCTTCGGAGTCCTATGCACTACTTTAGGCAGTGTCAGTCAATTGCAACTGAAACACAATCCTAGTAAACCCACAGTCGCTTCAGCTCGAGTCTCTCCAGATTGAAGTATCTTTTGGCCTCTCCACGATCACATAACTCAGCCTTGTTTTACAATTATCAACTGTGATTCCATCTCACACAGACCAAGTTTCTCCTCCCTGCTCCATATGCCTCGCCATCTGCCTCATTGTTCTCTTCACTGCTACACTTTCGCCAAGACTCCCCGGCTGACTGGGAGATCATTTTAAAGAAGGGGACAGGAATGAAATGAACAAAAGTCGTATATTTCGAGATGCATTTTCCCCTGGCCCAGCGCGGATCCTGCGGCTGCGGTTTCAGAATTGGGATTGTATTGTGGGGAACAAAGGGGGGCCTGGTGCGGTGGAGGTGAACTCTGTAACGTTTTGGAAAATAACACACCAGCGGAGGACGTTTCTCTGCAGGAGGGAAGTGGAAATAGGATGATAGTGTTATTTGACACTGAGAAAAGCAACGTCTTGGAAAGAGGTAATATTGTTTAAGCAGAATTGATTTAAAGTAAGTGTTTCGACCGGTACAAATGTGTTTCTGTGAGTGCATTATGAAAACAATAGCCGTAATGTCTCGCTGTGTGAAGGAGAGGTTCTGCTGTCAGACTGTACAATGAGAACTGCTGAGTCTGTACATATCATTCATCTGTAATGTGCAATACTGTATATATATATATATATATATATATATATATGTATATCAATATATGTAATATCAATGTTGATATTGAAGAATTTAAAGCTAAGAAACACAGCAGCTACTTATATTGGATATTTTGTGTGCTCCCTGTGTCTCTTTCTAAAGCCCTGTCTGTGCGCTGCAACATCGACATTTCCACACAGTGGGACGAATAAAGGATCTTTAATCTTATAAACTATAAACTGCTAGCACAGGGACAGACCTCCTGCTGGGACTCTGAGGAGCACAGGGACTGGCCTCCTGCTGGAACTCTGAGGAGCACAGGGACTGGCCTCCTGCTGTGACTCTGAGGAGCACAGGGCCTGGCCTCCTGCTGTGACTCTGAGGAGCACAGGGACTGGCCTCCTGCTGGGAGTCTGAGGAGCACAGGGACTGTCCTCCTGCTGGTTCCAGAGTCAGGACTACCCATGAGGATTCATGCAGCTAAAATCTGGAGCAGTCTTCCTGAAAATCTGAGACAGACTTCTTCTCTGTGAATACAACTGAGGGTTTTTATCTTCACTCTTTTTACTGCACTGTGATTATTCATGCGTGATTGTTTCTATCCTGTTTTGATCAGCACTTGGAGTTACACATGTACTTATATTATTCATTCACTCTAAACACAGTGGTGATAAACTACTACTGTTTACTACTACTGTAGCAGAGCACACTGACAGAAGCGCGGCCCCTCCCACCACCACCAACCATTCACACACACACCAGAATCATTCTAATGTGGGGGAAGTGTCTTGCCTAAGGACACTGTGGCACCTGGTGTTTCCAAAGGTCTCCCATCACACCACTAACCAGGCCCTGCCCTGCTGACTGACTAACTATAGCTACAGTTGGAACTATAACAAGGTAAATTCCTCGGCTCCAAAGTCCTTTCAAATCCTTGTACCCAGCGCCTGCCCCTGTGCTCCCTGCGTCCCTGTGATACGCTCTAATGCATGTTAATGGGATGCAAAGTGTGCTCTTGCTCCTCCAGAGACTTCCTCAGGGACTGCAGAGACTCGCTACACCTCTGCTGCCCCCGGAGGCCTCAGGGGGGAGGGGGGAGCACAGACTTCCTCAGGGACTGCAGAGACTCGCTACACCTCTGCTGCCCCCGGAGGCCTCAGGGGGAGGAGGGGGGAGGGGATGAAAGAGGCTCCAGAGACCACACTCACACTGTCAGCGTCAGGGACAGAGTGAATTATCGTATTAGTGAAACCACTGCACTCTGTTCATAGCTGCAGGAACACCACGGGATCTATTTGCTTTTAATTCATTCAGATTCAGAAAGAAGTGAAAACAAACTACTTATTACTACACTTTCAAACAGTAACACACATAATCAAGTAGTACATAAAGAGACCCAACAGAGACCCCGAGGAGGTCCCTACAGAGACCCAGAGGAGGTCCCTACAGAGACCCAGAGGAAGTCCCTACAGAGACCCAGAGGAGGTCCCAGCAGAGACCCAGAGGAGTTTCAACAGAGACCCAGAGGAAGTCCCAACAGAGACCCAGAGGAGGTTCCAACAGAGACCCAGAGGGAGTCCCAACGGAGACCCAGCGGGAGTCCCAACGGAGACCCAGAGGGAGTCCCAACGGAGACCCCGAGGAAAGCCAACAGAGACCCAGAGGAGGTCCCAACAGAGACCCAGAGGAGGTCCCAACAGAAACCCAGAGGAGGTCCTAACAGAGACCCCGAGGAGGTCCCACTAGAGACCCCGAGGAAAACCAACAGAGGCTCCAATTGCGACAAGGTAAGTTAATTCACAAGGCAACTCCAAATGCTTAACACAAGGAAAAAAAAATATATAGACCAGACTATAGACCAGACTATGGACCAGGCTATAGACATAACTATGGGCCAGACTATGGACCAGATTATGGACCAGACTATAGACATAACTATGGACCAGACTATGGACCAGACTATGGAGCAGACTATGGACCAGACTATGGAGCAGACTATGGACCAGGCTATAGATATAACTATAGACCAGACTATAGACCAGACTATAGACATAAATATGGACCAGACTATGGACCAGACTATGGAGCAGACTTTGGACCAGGCTATAGATAAAACTATAGACCAGACTATAGACCAGACTATAGACATAACTATGGACCAGACTATGGACCAGACTATGGACCAGACTATGGACCAGACTATGGACCAGACTAAAGACCAGACTATGGACCAGGCTATGGACCAGGCTATGGACCAGACTATGGACCAGACTATAGACCAGACTGTAGACCAGACTATAGACCAGACTATAGACCAGACTTTGGACCTCCACAGAGCGAGGGTGAATAAGTCTGTCACTGAAGCTGCTCTCCAGGGCAGACAGAGTGTCCTGCAGGGGGCGACATAGACATAAACCATACATAGAACCCATACGTCGATACAGAGAGAGAGCAAGCCAGAGAGAAAGACATAGAAATAAAATATACATTGATACAGAAAAAGAATACTTCCACTTCCAACACTAAAACCCGTCAAAGTGACTGCTCCAGAAGTCCAGTGTAAATCTGTTTAATTTCACCAACACAGAAATAACTAGTGTTGTCAAAAAAGATTTGACTGACGTGTTCAAAGTTTGATACAGAAAACAGACGAAGATATCCAAGTTTAACATCTGTATTTAATTTCCTTACAATCAGATACAGAAATTCAACAAGCTCCTACACTATCCATGTCCCTCGCTGGCCCTGTGCTGACTCTCAGCCCCCGCCTCAAGCCAGAGCATATCGGGAGATGTCCAGGAAGAAGGGGGCGTGTCGTATCAGGCAGCTTCCGGTCCTGTGATCCGCCTCCGCACCATGTGGTCTCCTCGTCTCCATTCCCCACCTAAAAAGAATTCATGCTTCCTAACCTAAGGCTCCAGGCAGCTGTCACTGGTCTGGGATCCATCTCTTGTCTAAACAACTCCCCTAATTAGTCTCAACAGCCCGCTTTCCTAAAGAACAAACCTATTGCAGTACAAAACACATCACACTAATTAACCTAATATCTAAGTACATGAAATCACCTAAAATATGAAGTAAATATATGTTAAGAAAGGTTATGTGTATTATCATATGACAAATGAGTATGGCTAGAAGACTCCAGTCATGTCAACCCACTCCTGATGGAGTGAGGTGAAGAGTGCAGAAGTCAGCAGGAGCCAAGACTAGGGGGTGAAATCCAAACAGCAGAAACCATCTGTTGTTTAGTTGATCCCACAAGAAGACACCTAAAATAAAATAAAAAGGCCTGGCCTCCCACCTAGAGTTTGATAGGTCATAAAACACATGGTTTTAGTGTGTCACGTATTTATAAATACAACATTTCCCTCTCTTGACCTATATTAAAATAATTAGGTCACAATCTTTCAATAACCCTTCTGAGTGACGGGACTGGGGAGATTCCATCATCGCCAACATCTTAGTACTGGCTCGTTATCTGTGAAGAATTAATTACAGGGAAAACAAACAACACACAACCACATTCTTAAACATATGTTTTTATCTAATAAATCTCTCTATACTGTGGTTTGCTCTTATCCTATATTGTTGGATTTTTCCCATTATTCCGTCAGGCTTTGTGCCAGAAAGGAAGTTGCTGTCATGCTTCCTCCTCTCAGAAGTGCAGTTCAGACAGGGATGAATGTACATCATTAATCAAATTGGTATAGAATCCTTTTTAGGAGCTGGGGTCATTTGATTCTCGTTAATCTGAGCTGACAAATCGACAGCTCTTAAAATTCTCAAAAATACCTAATTATCTACTTTTGTGCTATACCCAAATACATAAAATGCTTTTAAATGTTTTTGAATCTCTGTTGGTTCTAATCTATCTCATTAATCTATCTACATTAGTCTAAGCTACACTCATGAACTTTTTGCATTGTCAACATTCACCTATGTTTGAAACAAGTGAATTTGACAAGTATCTAATAAAACTGTGCATGAACTGTAATGAACTTTATCTACTTTTGAAGTAAATACTTTTGGACATATTATGAAGGAAATGATCCTCTTACCGTTTGATTTTTTAGCCCTGGCTAAAAATAATCTCTATTTTTGAAAGCATCTATCTATTTCTACTCTATTGTGACTCCAAAGCTCAGTTGTAGCTTGAGCCAAATATTTCCACTTTGTGACTCCTGTCACTCTCAATGGCTGCAAAATAATTCTGATTCTAACAGTTTAGCTGCTCTATCAGAAGGATCACAATGTATGGTACCATTTTAACTCTTACTCTGAAGTTTGTTTATGAACAATGATCAAATTCTACTTTTTCCTACTATTTAACATCTACTAAAACGCTAAAATACTCATACTTTATCATTTTAAACCATTTTAACAGTTGCTCAGTCCCCCCAGACTAAAAGTCAACCTTTTTGTCTGCCAGACTGAACACTTAACATTTATTGCATTTGGTCACAGTTGTGGTTTTAGTTGTAGCAATAGCATTGGCAATAGATGATTTTTCATTGGCTGGTTCTTGTTCTGCAAATCACTATTTTATGTATTGTATTTCAGACCATTCCAAAAACAACACAGTAGTTCTCCAATATTAAAGACATAAATCTAATCAAGTTGCCTGAAAGGGAGCGGGAAGAAGAGAACTATTTTAAAAACGTTCTCTACGATTATATGGCTATGAAATTAATTATTTAATAAACAAAAGCACATTCATGGCTTCTGTCCGCTGCTTATAACTGTTTAAAGAGTTGTCCCAAACTTAATATGTGTGAATACATCAGCTGTTTGTAATAAACAATAACATTTAACCTGTTTTCCAATGGAGCAGCTCAGAGGCTGCGTCAAAAGTAATGTTATATTTGGGCTACTTTTAGATTAAAAATGTGTTAACGCCTGTCGTTCTATGTCTGCATTTTAATACTACTCTCTATAAACACATCTGCACTAGATCCTACAGATGTGGAAAACAGAAGCATCCAAAATCTGACTCTATTTGATTCCTTTTTACTTTAATTATTAGAACAATTTGACCTTATTGATACTTATTTCCACAATAGAACTATTTTGATTATTCACTAGTCTAACTATTATTCATCCATCCATCCATTTTCTACCCTTTAATCCATTTCTGGGTCAGGGGGGTGGCAGTCAGAGATGCCACCCAAGTCTCATAGCACCAGCCCCTCACTGACCCTCTGCAGGTGGTGAGTCCACAGGAGGACGGCTGCTCTCTGAGTGTGAGGATAGCCTTGATCTTTCAGTGGGGGCTTTGGGCAAAGTGGGGTTAAGTGTCTTGCCCAAGGACACAACGACAGCAGTCATCAGTGGGAGTCGGTGGAGAAGGTGCAGAGGTGGGAATTGAACCCACGACCTTCTGGGCTTAAGGCCAATGCTCTACCAACTGAGCTACTGTCGCCCGCTCTAACTATTATTACTATTGTTTATTCTGACACCTCTTCTTAGCGACCTTTTAACCTATAGCTCCTTGAATCCAATGACATTATAGCTCCAGACTATTTCATTCTATTCTATTATTATCTTATTATTATATGATCTATTATCTTAAAGAGTAGATCTGTTTGATGTTATAAGCGCTATTATTTCTCCTTTTGAATTTGCACCACACTAATTTTAGAATGACCCCCTATGGGACAAATAAAGAATTTTATTTTATTTTGGCAACTCTGAAAATTATTTAATAATTTTCCCATTTTGCTTTTAGGCTGCCCTTTCTATTATTTATTTGTTCTTGTAAACATATGTTTTACACTTCTTTCTAATGATTTAGAAGGTTAAGGACCATGACCACCTATGACAATAACATTACCATACTCCCGCTCTTGGTCATGGGCCAAGTGTAAAATATGCGTCTGTGTGTCTGTGTGTAGATTACTGTTCCAATCATCTCCAGTTGTTTCCTCCCGGATCGTCCTCAATTCGTATTGTGGGCTTTGGTGCCAAAGTAGAGGCTCATTTCCTCATGATCCATACTACTGTCATCCCTGAAGCAGGGGTAGTTTATCTCTCATATGAAAAAGAAACATTAGAACACAAGAAATGCCCACTTCCCTGGCTTTTAGCGGCCTGTCAATCATTCCAATGGGGTAAAACATAACGGCATTGACAGACGGTGTGTGACATCAGGGCAGAGGCTGTAGCCAAATACAGACTTAACAAAATGTATGTTTCTAATTTCATACTCCCCTAAATGTGAGTTACAAACCAAAGTTGTCCTCCGCCCAATGACCGCTCACTGCGGTTGGACCGAATCACTGTCAGGACAAACAGCAGAGGGAGGGACTCCCAGTACCTTCAGCAAGGTATTTCATCTCAGAGTACTTTCCGCAGAGTACTTTCTCAGAGTACTCATCCCAGAGTACTCTCACTTTTACACCTGTTCAATAAAGCTTGTTATCTTTGACTCTCTAGTACTTACACCGTATGCTGTTGACAAAAAATAATTATTCCATGATCACATTAAAACATTACAGAAAAACATTTGTTATTCCATGATTCCGTTCAGCACTCCTCATTTCACAACACACTCACACACAGGCCGACTCCCCACGTTAGTATATTGGTCCAGAGTTTGTTAAGGTCAACGTAGTGTACTTGACATGACGCACAAACATATAACATACACAAACATATAACACACACAAACATATAGACAACACAGGAGGCCTGTAATTTTAACTTTGTTATATTTTTCCATGTCCAATTACAATTGTCTCATGAGCTATTTTATTGTTGCAACTTTCAGAGCCTGCAGAACATGCAAAGCTTTGAGAGATTTTTCCTAAAAGGATCCATTTCCAACTTTAGTGTTTAAACCACGTGGTCTTTGCTCGGGCTTCTCACAGACTGTGTCCCCTATATTTTTAATGAGCTCTTGTTGTTACTTAAAAAAACTCGTGCACGTGCTAAAAATGTTTTTCCCTTTTTTTTGTAAAGCCAGTTCGGATTCATTAAAAAATGTAAATTAGTTTCAAACTTTAATACTTCACCTTTGTTTCACGTTCATGTGGAGAAAAGACGATTATTGCACGTGTACTAACGTACTTGCCCCAATCATGTCTCAGATAAACTGTCAACAGTTGTATCAAAGACATAATTGTCCTAATTGTTTCTAATTTAGCTATTTGGAAGAGAAACATGTCATAAAAGATTTCATAAAATGTCTTTACATCCGTGTCTTCAACCAATGGACCGTGGTGCGTTAGTGTGTCATCAAAAATGGTCCAATATCACCTTTAGCCAAGATTTAGAAATACTCTATTATTATTTTCCCAGACTTTTTTTTTGATTGTCTGAACAAACCACTTTTGTACTAAATGCAGCGTCAATTAAAGCTGCAGTTCTCTTTCTAGCACCAGTTTCAACTGTGCATGTGATTGTTCTTAAATGAGAAACGAGCCACGGTTCAGAGGTTGAAAAATTGCGTTAAATATCCGTATTACCAAGATCATGCAAAATCAATAATTCTAAACTTCTCCGCGACTATAACTTTAAATAACAATAATAGTTTTAATAATAAAGCTCATCTAAATCATGCACAAATATACTGCTGTTCTAATCTCCTTGTGTCTCATGCTAAGGTAAGAGTCTAATAATGTTGACGATTGTCTTGTAACCATTCATACAGTTAAATGTAGTGTTTCGAACGTATGACCTAAATGTGTAAATATGACCTAAATGTCCTTAATGTCTTGGTGCGCTTGTTGCCTGTCTGTATATATTACCTTCTGTCTGTTTCATTTAGGCCAGCCACGTCTTCCTCAAACGTCCGTTAATGTCTCTTTCTTTTACTCATGGCGTCTTTCAATGTCTTTGTCTCAAAGTGTTCAATGTCTTTGTCTCAAAGTGTTCAATGTCTTTGCCTCAATGCCTGTTTTCTTCTTCTTTCAATCACTTTCTTTCTTCTTCCAATAACTTTTTCTCATATTGTCTTTCTTCTTCTTTTCAATCTTTTTTTTCTCCTTGCAATGTCTTTTTCTTTCATGTCTTCTTTGTCTCATTTTTGACGCACACAAATGTGTCGTGTCCTTCTTCTTCTTGTTTTTTCCGGCGGTTGGCGGCCTATTTTTTCGCATTACCGCCACCTTCTGTTCCGTGGATGGGTCAGCACTCAGTTTGTGAAAAGTCTGCGGTCTTTTCTTTGCCTTCTCACAGGAATGGAGGCTGGAGGAGTCTTCTTCGAGCTGCTGCAGCCGATGCTGCTGTCTTTGCTGCCCCCTGTGGGTCGGGGAAGACGCTGATGGTCCCTTTTAGTAGACGCTCAGTTGAGGCTTGTGACGGGTTTTGGCCAAATGAAACAGACAGAAGTTTTTCTCAGAAAAAAACAGACAAACAAGAAGCATAAACAAGTGTGTTAATTACCATGCAAAACCAATGATTAATTACAAATGAAAATAAACCTATGAAATAATTAATATTAACTCTTTCAGTGCCAATGACGCATATTACGTCAATTCTAGATCTATGCTTGTGTGCCATTGACGCATTTTATGCAATTGACGTGTTTTGGTGTATTCAGATCCAGACGCATCCATTCTATCATATATCTCTGATCGGGACTGTTTGACAGTATTTTATTCGGCCAGCAGATGTCAGTAGCGTCCTTTAGCTCTTCGATCAGGCATAAAAGGAACCGGATGCCCAGATCTCATTGTGGGAGTAGGTTGGTTAGAGTGAGCACACGAGAGTAATCGGGAGAGCGAACATGAGCAGAAAGCGGCAGCTAACGATGGAGGAGGCGTTTGGTGCTGGTGGTACCATCAGAAGGTCGGTGGGTGATGGCCATGATGAAGGTGGAGGTGATCTGCCTCGGCCTTCAGTTGGCCGAGGCAGATCACCTGTGGGCAGCACGGTGGCATGAGTGGATAGCACTCTCGCCTCTCAGCAAGAAGGTCCTGGGTTCGAATCCCGGCCGGACCAGGGCCTTTCTGAGTGGAGTTTGCATGTTCTCCCTGTGTCTGCGTAGGTTTCCTCCGGGTACTCCGGTTTCCCCTACCACTAAAAATATGTACAATAGGTCTGGCATGCGCCTCCTGTTCGGCGACCCCGCTCCCATCTCTGTGAGGAGTGAGAGGATAAGTGCCCAAAAATAACAATTGTAAACCGCTTTGTGACTCTGGTTTGTGAAAGGCGGTATATAAATAAAGATTACTTACTTACTTACTTACTTGGCAAAAAGCCTGAGGCTACGGCTAAAGCTACTGCTAAGCATCTGGCGGGAGTCCTTGCCGCGCATGTCGCTCCAGAGCCGCCGCGCGCAGTTCCAGTGGTCCACGTCGGTCCAGAGAAAGTTCCTCGTCGGATACAGGCTCTTCAGAGCTATGGGAACCTGAAGCTGACCCAAACAGCAGTGACTCATCCCCCGATTCCCCCAGAGCAACCGGCAGAGCAGGTAAGGCATACATTATACATATGTATTTAGCAATGAAATAAAAGTATTCTTGTATAATTCTCATGATTGTATTTGTGTGTATTTCTAGTAAGCAGAGTGCTGGCCCAATCCAGGAGTACTAATGCTGGTAAAAGGAGGCCTACAGGCAAATAAAATACTCATATATGTATGTATATATGCATGTGTGTGTATATGTATGTGTATAATATGTATGTATGTGTAGTGTGTGTGTGCGTGTGTCTCTGTGTGTGTGTCTCTGTGCGTGTGTGTCTGTGTGGTTTGGATATGTGCGTCTGTGTCTGTGTGGTTTGGATATGTGCGTCTGTAGATGTATATGTATTTGGATATGTGTGTATATGGATAGATGAGTTATTGTACAATTCTATACAGGCGCTACATTGAGCAGAGGCGCTGCCAGCGTGAGTCCTGCAAATACAGGTGTGAAGAAAAGAGGTAGGAATATCTTTCTCTACATCACATCAAATCAATAAAACGAGCTCCATTTGATTCCTATTTATTGTATACATTTCCATAATTTATTACAGTTGCAAAGGGTAAAGGCGGCACCTGGCGGAAATCCGGATGGAAACCCACTGTGTTCCCCTTCACTGCAACGCCTGGTCCCCTGAACGCGGCAGCAGAGCTGGAGTCCACCTCGCCTGCTGACTTCCTGGAGCTGTTCCTCACGGACGAGCTGCTCCAGCACATCACAGAGCAGACCAACCTCTATGCTCAGCAGCATTTCCTGGCAAACCCAGAGATTCCGCAACACAGCAGAAAGCATGCATGGAGACCAGTGACCATTCCAGAGCTAAAAAAGTTCTTTGCATTGTCTTTCCTCACTGGTGTTATCCACAAGCCAACCCTGGCGATGTATTGGAACGTGGATGAGATGTTTGTGACCCCGTTCTTCACTAAAATAATGTCCAGGAACCGGTTCCAACTCATATGGAGGTTCCTCCATTACAATGACAACTCTGCAATTGATGTAACTGACAGGTTATACAAGGTTCGCCCCGTCTACGACTACCTGATCAATAAATTCAAGGTAATGTCCCAACCCGGGCAGAATATTTGCATAGATGAGGGGATGTTGCTCTGGAGAGGACGGCTGGCCTTCAAGGTCTACAACCCACAGAAGCCCATAAAGTATGGAATAAAGTCCTATGTGCTCTGCGACTCTGCCACATAGGGCTGCTTTAACCTGCAGCCCTATGTTGGTGAGCCCCGCACGATCCCTGACATTGTTTTTTCTCTCCTTGACCGTCTCCCAGGTGCCGGCCACACTCTGTTTATGGACAATTATTACAATTCTGTGGCATTGTCTGAGCAGTTGATGGCAGTAAAAACAAATGTGTGTGGGACGCTAAGGAAGAACCGGGGAGAGCCTGAGAGCATTAGGGACGTGACCAAGACTGAGCTGAGTGTGGGGGGGGGAGTCGCGGTGAACAATGGGAAGGTCATGGTTGTGGCGTGGCGGGACAAACGGATTGTCAAGATGTTGACAACATGTCACCATGACAATATGACTAGTGTCGACGTTTGGCAGCGAGGACAGAGGGAGAAGGTGTCTGTCCTAAAACCGGAGTGTGTCGATGCCTATAACTCCTCCATGAATGGTGTGGATCGATTGGATCAGAACATTAAATACTACCCGTTCGTCCGGAAGTCTCTGAACTGGACCAAAAAATTTGTCGCTTACCTGTTCCAAATCGCAATGTACAATGCCTACACTCTCTACAGAGCCAGGAACGGGAACCGGGAATACAAAACCCTCTTGGAATTTATGCAGGGGGTCATGAGGTCCTGGACATTGAAGGTCCAGGATGAGGACGAGGAGGACATCGAGGACGAGGAGGACGAGGAGGACGAGGAGGACATCGAGGACAAGGAGGACGAGGAGGACCACAACGAGGAGAACGAGTCGATCGTTGCATGTGTGGAGGAAGGAGCACCACGAAACCCCAGGGCTCCATATAACACTGATCCAGAGAGCAGGCTCGATGAGGGTGCCAGGCACAAGGTGGAGTACCTGCTGTCCTCCGGCTCGAAGACCAGACCCTCGAGGAGATGCAGGGTCTGCATGCGCAAAGGCCTGCGCAGTGAGACCAGGATGTGGTGCAAGGCATGTGGTGTCCCCTTACACAAAGGAGTGCTTCACAAAATATCACACACAACAAGATTACACTATATAGACAGAGACACACGCACGCACACACGCACACTCTCAGCCAATCAGCACTTTATGTATATAGTTATTTGTTTGTAATTTACTGTATGTTTGTACATTTCTTATTCTGTGTTCTGAGTATTATTCTGTGTTCTGAGTATTATTTTGCTATCAAAAGCACTTTATTTTGAGTCATTTCCCTTATTTTATATATGGGAAGAATGTTCTGTTGTGTGAGAAATGACTAAAGTAAAAAAAAACTTTTCAAAGTCACTTTTCTGCATTGTTTGCTTATTTTCACAAACACCTAATTTTCTCAGCTTTATGTCGGAAACTGATGATTTCTGTGAAAAGTTTACCTTACTCCAATGGTGATTACAGAAGAACTAAAGCCGATAGAAACACACTTATTTTTTCTGAGTAAACTAGAGGGTCCAATCTTTCAGAATATGGTCTCAGATTTAAGCTAGTCATAGCAGAACATATTCTATGGGTCTTTAAAAGTCGGTGAAAAACAGCAAAACGGCTGGCACTGGAGGAGTGATGTTCTGAAAATGTCTGGCACTGAAAGAGTTAACATTTTAAACATTAGATTCTGAAAACCGAATTCTGCATTCAACTGCTATCCTAAGCCCTATTTTTTCCAAAAGTATAATGCTCTCTAAGATCATTCTAACTTTTATATCACCAAAATGTAGGGAAAAAAACTTGTCCAGACGCCTCGGAGATAAAAATAAAATAATGCCTCTTTATAATCTAACTCAAAGTTCTGTGATCATATGACTCCATGACAGTAACATTATCATGTGTATAAATGTAATTTTCTACAAAAAATATTTGGTAATAGTTCTGTCTTTGAGATAGAGAGAGAGAAGACAGAAAGAGGGAGGGGAGGGGCTGAGTGGCCTCTCGAACAAAGGAAAACATGGACGTCTGAAATACATCCTCCTGTTAGCTACATTTTCCTCGTTTTTTATCGTGACAAGGTCTTAATCAGTGGTAAAAGTTTTTCTCACGTCAAACGACACTTTACATTTATTTAAATACGTCAGTAATGGAAAACATTACAATTTGCTTACATGACTTCACTAGGTACAGCCGGATCTTTTTCGTAATACCTCTGTAACTATTGAAACATTACATCAGAATAAGAGAAAAACTTCCATAACTGATCATTCTGGTCATTTCTCCACATGGAAACTCGTATTTACAGCCAAGTGGCTCCTTTTTTGTTCCTCATTAATCAGATCATTATTATTCTATATACAGAATCCATCAGTTTAAATACTTGGCTTTTTTCTGTTTAAATGTACCCTCTTTCTCGCCCCCGGGGGATATGGAAGGTTTTTATTATCCTGTTCTGACCCTAAAGCTGTCCCTATCTTCTAATTCTCTATACTTGTGCCTCTCTGCACTTTAAGAAGGTGTGCCTCTTCTGCACTTCTAAAAACTCTTGTGGACTCTATCATCTATGTTCTGTTTGTTTTAGAGGGAGACCCATTTTGTCCCTCAAGGCTTTATAAAACGTCTAAACCTGACTATTGTTCTATTGCGTCCGATAGAACGCCCATCACGGCGGTCTGTCCACACTGCAGTCATGCTGGGCCGAATTCTCTCTCTCTTCCATTTAAAACAATGTGCAGATTTTCAAAAGTATGATCTGCTTACCTCTTTTGAAGCAACTTTTTCGAAGAGAAGAGAGAATTTTCCAGGCCCACACAGACCCAGCCTATATCTGAGCTCATCTCGCATCTTCTTTCTGTATCAAATCACGTCAGGGGTCACCATTTGTTGTCAAAAAAGATTTGACTTACGTGTTCAAAGTTTGATACAGAAAACAGACGAAGATATCCAAGTTTAACATCTGTATTTAATTTCCTTACAATCAGATACAGAAATTCAACATGCTCCTACACTATCCATGTCCCTCGCTGGCCCTGTGCTGACTCTCAGCCCCCAGTAGATAAATAGGGCACCGCTATTGAGCAAGTGGTGAAAAGGTGGTACTGCACCTGAACTCCTCGGAGCGCTATTGAGCAAGTGGTGAAAGGTGTTACTGCACTGTATTTTTCCAAGAGGTGTCACTTTGAATGTTTAATGAGTTGTCCTCTGTTGACCCCAGTGTGTATGTGTGCTTCACAGTTGTCTAAGGTGATTTATTGAACAGAGCTTAGCGTAACACCTGCGTAGGTTTACACCATGTTTATTCTAAAACAAACAGTGATGCCCTGGTTAGGGAAGACGTGGTAATAGCTAATCAAGCTGTAGGGGAGGACCTGCCCCAGGCCTATCAACCTGAAGCAAACAGTGTGAGCGAATCATGATGAAGGGGTGGGAGGACTATGGTGAGCCCCGCCCTCTAAGAAGTTTTCAATGGACCAAACGCATTACGTTTGTCTACGTGAAGGTTATACAATACGTTTCATAAACATGTCTAATACAGGTAAGTTATTAATATACCATTTTTTCAGTATTCATATTAAATGTTTTAATTTAGTTTATCTCTAGGAAAGGGTCGTTTATTGACACATTATGACACCGATGAGGATTTAACCCCATCACCAAAAGTTACGAGAGGTCTACAACCAAGGGATGAAATATGGTAAGATCACATTTTCCTTAAGGTCTTAACCAGATGTTTAATACTTTTTTCATTTTATACAGCACAGGTAAATTAACGAGCAAGTCAATGCCCCTGATGCATAAATTACGACAAGTAAATCAACGTAAAGCAAGTCTAGCTCCGTAAGTCCGTACATACACTAATTAATTTTATATAAGATGTTGTATGAACGGT